AGGGATCCGCAGAGGCCTTCGGTGGCCCGCCCCTGCCGCCCCGCCCCTGTTGCCCCTTGTGGAACTGCTGCCCTCACATAGGGCTGGCCTCAGGTCCTACCTCTTTATAAAGGATAACACTGAGTCTGAATCCCAGCATCACACACACACACACACACACACACACAAACACACAAACACACACACACACACACACACACACAGAGTAATAATGTGATGGCCTAGTATAGTGTGGTGCGAACTTGCAGTTCTAACTACTTAGGCTAGGAAGGAATACTATTTGATTTTGGTAATTTAGGACCAGCCTGAATAGAATAGCAAGAACACTTCATTTTCTTTTTTCAGTCACTGTGGCTGATTTCCTTTATCATCATTATTGCCATTTGTCATATCATGTTTCCTGCCAAACACTTTTTATTTGGATTTTTTTTTTGTTTGTTTGTTTTTTTTGTTTTTCGAGACAGGATTTCTCTGTAGCTTTGGAGTCTGTCCTGGAACTCACTCTGTAGACCAGGCTGGCCTCGAACTCACAGAGATCTGCCTGCCTCTGCCTCCCGAGTGCTGGGATTAAAGGCGTGCGTCACCACTGCTGGCAGCCGTGTGTTTCGTACTTAAGATTCTCTCAAGGAGTCGTCACAATGTCATCTGAGGGCCTGATCAGGGAAGCGGTCACTTCAAAAGCCTTTACAATTATAAAACATATATAGAGAGAGAGTAGCTGCAAGCTGGAGGACAAGGGGCCGGGTGGGACAGGGGCACCTGCGTGGCTGGCCTGCGAGTCGTGCCCAGCCTGCGCTGCCCCCACCGGGCGGGGGCCCGTCCGGGTGGGCCCGGCTTTTCCTGATCCCGTCTCCTTCCTGGTCTCCTCCCGGTCTGACTGGTCTCCAGCCTCCTTGCTGCTTCAAGCTTCTACAACTGTGGGATTTCCTACAATCCTACTCACTGTCACTTTGGACTTGTTCTACCTCTTCGCTCCCTAACAGCCCGCCCCGGGACTCTCTCCCCTCTCCTAAAAGTCTTCCCTCCAACCCACTCCAGACCTTGTTCTCCCCCTCCCTGGATTAGGCATTCACATCCCTTCCAAATTAACCCCCACCCCAACTCTCCAAATACTTGACACCGCCTTCTCTGAGGACCACCAGCCTTGATTTTGTACCGAACACAACAGCCCTATCATGGAGGCTGTGTTCCCCTTGGTAAACTGGACGGTCCCGGTGCTGGACTGGATGGGCCCAGTGCCGGACTGGTTGACTTTCCTGTTAGATCTTAACTTTTTGTTTGTGTCCTTCCTCCTGGCAAGCTTGGCCTGGCTTTTGGCCCTCATCTACAACCTGCCACACACGGTACTGACTTTTTTCCTCCACTTTGGGCGAGTCCTGCTCTCGTTGCTGGCCTTGGTTGAAGCACTGGTCGAATTTACCTTTGTGGGGTTGCAGCCCTTGTTTGCTTTTCTTTACAGCTGCTACTCTAGCTTGGAGAGCTTAAAGCTCCTAGGGCACCTGGCCTCTCATGGAGCTCTGAGAAGCCGAGAATTACTGACCAGGGGCATCCTGAACATGATCTCCAGCGGCCATGCTTTGCTGCGCCAGGCCTGTGACATCTGTGGCATTGCCATGAGCCTGGTGGCCTATGTGATCAACAGTCTGGTCAACATCTGCCTCATCGGCACTCAGAACCTCTTTTCCCTGGTGCTGGCCCTGTGGGCTGCTGTGCCGGAGGCTATGTGGCGGATGACAGATATGCTGGTGGCTTTCCTCGCTCACTTTTCTAGCAGTGGGGTGGCCATGGCCAACCTCCTCTGGACCCCCTGCCAGCTAGGGCTAGAGCTGTTGGCCTCAGTGGTCCTCCTCTTGGCCGGCTCTATGTTTTCCAATCTTACTATTTTCCTGTTGTTGCTTTGTGTGTTGGCAGTGACTTTGACTATGTTATACCCAGGTTTTACCTTGAGGCTAGCCACCGGAGCACTCAATCAGCTCCATGCCCGACTATCTTACCACCAGCTCTGAGAAGATGTTGTTCGGCTCTCTCGCCTGGCACTGGGTCTGGAGGCCTGGCACCAAGTCTGGAGACTTAGCCTGCAGCTGGCCAGCTGGCCGAATCAGGGAGGAGTGCTGGGGGCCCTCCAAGGTGTTGCCAGGAGGATGTCTTTAGCCAGAATCCAGGGACAGGACAATCTTCATGAAGAAGAAGAAGGAGGAGGAGGAGGAGGAGGAGGAGGAGGAGGAGGAGGAGGAGGAGGAGGAGGAGGAAGAAGAAGAAGAAGAAGAAGAAGAAGAAGAAGAAGAAGAAGAAGAAGACAACGACGATGAAGAGGACGTCAGGAGCTTCAGATCAGCATCCACATCCACTAGAGGCCGAGAGAGACTCAATGAGGATGAACCGCCAGCAAGGCAAGACCCATGGAGGCTGCTGGAGGAGCACGAGGCGAGGAAGAGATGTGTTATCTGCCAGGACCAAAGCAAGAGCGTGCTGCTTCTGCCCTGCCGGCACTGTGCCTGTGCCAGGCCTGCACCGAGATCCTCATGCACCAACCTCTCTACGTCTGTAACTGCCCACTCTGCCGCCGCCACATTCTGCAAACCCTCAATGTCTACCTCTGATGACTCCCTCCCTGCCCGCCCACCCACTGCCCTCCACACAGTGGGACCACTTCAGCATTTTGCCTGTGGGTTTTGGCTAAACCTGAATTTGGGACTATTTACCCTGAGGCACTCAGTTCCTGGATGAACTTCAGGAGGGATTCCCAGATTTTTGTTCATTCTTCTCACACCTTATACAGTACTGAACATGGCATCCCTCCCAGTCTCTTAATGACATTCTGCATTTCCCTAGGGTTCAAACAAGGGGCTAGGCCTTGGGGCATGCAGTGCCATTAAGTCTGCCTGCCCAGTTTCTATGAATAAACAGCTATTACTAGTTCTAAAAAATAAATAAAACATATAGAAGAACGAAGGGCTTCAGTTTCCTATTGAATGTTCCTTAGCTCCTATAGTCTAGCCAACCAGCCTCTAGCTTTTGCCACTTAAAATGCCCCAAGTTGCCAGGCGTAGTGGTACCCACCTTTAATCCCAGCACTTGGGAGGCAGAGGCAGGTGGATCTCTGTGAGTTTGAGGCCAGCTGCGCTACACAGAGAAGCCCTGTCTGGGGGGCAAAGTGGGGTATACTACGCCTCAGGTGGTTGCTTGCTTTAACAAAAGCAGCAGAGTAAGAGTCTCCTCAGTAGATGATTGTTTCATCTTTAATGTACAAATATGTTACATAATAACCTGTCACACACTTGATAGGAGTGGGTTATATAATAAAAGATGTGAACATCAAGACATGGGAGAAATGGAAGCCATCACAAATGTGTGTCCATTATATTGGTGTTTAATCTTCAGGTCTAGAAAGAAATGTACTTTTTTGTGTGTGATTTGAGACAAAGTCTCACTATGCAGCCCTGGCTGGCCTTGTACTTACTGTGTAGCCCCAACTGACCTTAGACTTGCAGCCATCCTCCTGCCTCAGGCTTCCATGAAGGCACTCAGGAAAAGATTTGCATTCTGATATCATCCATGACCCTGGGGATATATAGATGTAACCAATAGATTAGATCCTTGGTCACACAGATGGATCTTTTTTTTCCTGTTTTTTTTTTTTTTGGCAGGGTCTTGTATATAGCCCAGGTTAGGCTGGAACTCACTATCCTCCAGCCTCAGTTTTCCTAGCCAGGTTAGGCTGGAACTCACTATCCTCCAGCCTCAGTTTTTCTAGCCAGGTTAGGCTGGAACTCACTATCCTCCAGCCTCAGTTTTCCAAGTTCTAGAATTATAGGAGTAATCCAGTGGGGTTGGCTCTTTACTTTTATTTATTTTTTATAATTTATTTTATTTTATGTATATTGGTGTACTAGCTGCATATATATCTGTATGAGGGTGTTGGATCCCCTGGAACAAGTTTACATACCGACTGTTGTGAGCTGCCATGTGGGTGCTGGGAATTGAACCCAGGTCCTCTGGAAGAGCAGCCAGTGCTCTTAATCCATTGAGCCATCTCCATTCCTGCTTTACTTTTATTATTTATTTAAAATTTTTTTTTGGAGATAGGGTCTCAGTGTATAGCCTTGACTAACCTGAAACTTTCTATGTAGACCAGGCTGACTTTGAACTCATAGAGCTCTTCCTTCTGCTGTCTCCCGAGTGCTGGGATAAAAGGGGCTCACCACCATGCCTGGCTTTTTTTCTTCACTTTTAATGTATGTCATGTCACCATACTTTGCTTTAATTCTATTTTGATTTTTTTCTTTAGTTTCAACTATAAATGAAAGAAAAAAGAAATTCTTTCTGGAACAATATCTGGGCATAAATCTATGCATTTATGGAAAACAAGTAAATACAGACAGTAAATTAAAAAAGAAATTGTGAGAGATTAAATGAGAGACTTAGAAACCAGAGGAGACAGATAGGGAAAGGAAGATGCAGAGAGCTGAGGCTACACGAGGAAAAAATAAACACAGCCATGGAGAGGTGAAGACAAAGAACTGAGCAAATGCAAAAGGAGCCTTTAGTGAGCTCCTACCTCCTATCACTCCTATAGAACTTTGTGTTCATTTTGAGGTTGCAGTCGCTGGTAATAGCTTTATTTGGGCACAAGGCTAATTCATAGCAGTTTGAACTGAGCTGTCCATCATCATGTCCTCTGGACTGAACTCATTTTTCTGGGAACATCGTGCTCCACGGCATGCATCCAGTAATTGTTTATCCATCTAATAGCGTATAAAGTCTGTTGTTTCCCCAAGGACATAAACCAGACCTTTATTTCAGCCCACTGAGTCAATTTTCCTTGTCTGTCTGGTAATTCAACAGCAAGGTCTATTGCCTTAGCAACTGCCCTTCGACTACCATGGCAACCGCCAGTGCAGACTTCAGTTCTCCACTTTGCCCCTTGGACATCTCCATGGCGATGTGCAGGATGAAGAGGCCAGAGCCCCAATTCTGCGCCTGCGTAGAGTGACAGGAGGGGGTGAACAGGAGGGGGCCAGGCTCCTGGATGTGCGCAGCCTCAGAGCGCCACAGCTGTGCCCTCTAGTCCCAGCTCTGCGCACTTGACAGCCAGTTCGCCCGTCCGGAGCCCGGCTTATTGGGGCAGCATGGCAGGGTCGCCGCTGCTCTGGGGGCCGAGGGCCGGGGGCGTCGGCCTTTTGATGCTGCTGCTCATGGGTCTTCTGCGGCTTCCCCCAGCCCTGTCAACGAGGCCCGTAAAGGTGCGATTCCAGTTAGCAAGGAGTGGGGGTGGGGAGGAAGATGGGGGAAAGTGTTGTGGAGACATTCTTGCTGGTTTGTGCATAGAGATTGGCAAGGGTGTCCTGGGCTGCAGCTGACAGTCCCCCCACATAAGCCAAGCGCAGTTTCTGGGTGTGAAGGAGCTGGTGCTCAGGGCTCAGCTAGCAGATGCATCCTGAGCATCCCTCAGCATCTGGGGCCTGGTCTGACCTCGACCCGCCCCGAGAGTGGTCTGTGGCTGTGTCCATGGCAGTAGGGCATATTCAGAAAAGATGTCGGTGTATCAGTATGTGAGCCTGGGATGTGATGACCGAGCTGTATAAGTATTGTGTTCTTTTAGTATGTCTTTTGGTTTGGCTGCTCCTAAACGTCCTGAAATACTGGAGATTCTTCTTTGACTTTTTTTGTGGGCCTGATTGCTTTCTCAGTGATACCATGTGTATATTTGTGAACCCTCATGTGTAATGACGTAGTATATGGGCGCATCTTCCTGTGTACCTATGTGTTTCTGTGGGTTTTTTTTTTTCATTTTGGAAGGAGTGGTCCTTGTACCTCAGGGTACATATTTCATGGTGTCAGATTGAATGCTTGGGGTTTTCATTGTGCATCCATGAGATGATTTCCTTCTTCATTGTGGAGCTGTGTCATTGCAGGGGAAGAAGCCATGATGTCTCTGCTCTGCACTGTGTTTTTCAAATGATGCCTAGCCTTGCACCTGGGTGGCTCAAAGAGCATTACAGCAGATATTTCCCCAACAAGGAATGTGCACATAGGCACGAAAGACCACTTCTATGCAGTTCCTTGCAGTAGATACAGCAGTGTTGGGTTGCATGTATGACATTTCAAGGGCTGTGTGTGTGTGTGTGTGTGTGTGTGTGTAGAGGGATTGCTGGTGATTGATTTCCCCAGGGGCTGACTGCTGGATCCTGACCAAGGGGAGGGACATGGAGCAGCTTGCTCCTCTACCTCTTAAAAGCTGTCTGAATCACTGAGGGTTTTTTTAACTATTAAATATTTAGGATGGAACAATCTATTTAGCAGATATGTAGGTTATAAAAACGATGAAATAATCACCATAGCCACTCTTCAGCTTAAGGAATAAAGTATGACTGATACTAGGACTCCTTTGCTAGCACTACCTTCTATTTTCTGCCCATTGATTCCATTAGCTTTAAATGACGGTTTGTTTAGTTTCTGCTTTTGGAACATCATAGAAATGGAGTCAAGCTAGCTATCTGCTTTCTGATGATCTCACCAAGAAATCTCTGGTGTTGGGTAGTCTTAGGCTATCTAAAGTGCGATTCTAGAATTTGCCTTTGTGTGTGTGTGTGTGTGTGTGTGTGTGTATGTGTGTGTGTGCATGTGGTCTTGAATTGAGGCTTTTCTGCATGCTAGCACCCAGAACCTTCTTTAGTTCTGCTTTGGTGGGAGATTCATTTCTATTGAAGTGTGTGGTTGTAGTTCATTTACTGATGCGCCACACTATATCCTGCGAGTGTATCATGAGTCTACTAGTCTATTTCTGGGGAATGCTTTCCTTTATTCCCCCTACTTTCATGCTATTATAAAATACCACTATGATGGTTCAGTAATTTATGTCCAGTAGGCTTTGAGTGCAATACCCTAGAAGTGGGTCATAAAATCTATTATTTTGAGACATGGATTTCCCTTTCAAAATGATCTTTGCTATTTATTTTGTTTTGTGAGACAGGGTTTCTCTGTGTAATCCTGGCTCTCCTGGAACTCACTTTGTAGACCAGGCTGGTCTCAAACTCAAAAAGATCTGCCTGCTGGGTTCAAAGGTGTGTGCACCATGCCCAACTTATTTTTGCAAATTTAATTTCCAGCAGCGAAATATTGTAGTTTTATTCAAAACCTGATATCGCCACACACACACACACACACACACACACACACACACACACAAACAACGAAAAGAGAAGAAGAAGAAGAAGAAGAAGAAGAAGAAGAAGAAGAAGAAGAAGAAGAAATCGTCTGTGTGCCCTTGGAGATACCTGGGGATCTGCGGGGGCCTTAGAGATGATAGAAATTTGAGGGGCTCAGTGAATGTGGTAGTCATTTAAGATCCGTGGAACCCCACCCCTAGTTGAGCTAGAGGGACGATGACAATATCTTTTTTCCCCCATTTCATCTTCTCGCAGGAGTCCCGCAGTCTGAGTGCAGCATCAGTGCCCTTGGCAGAGACAGGCACTCCCCGCCGCTTGCATCGGGCCCTGCCCCGCGGAGAGGCGGCGGGTGCAGTGCACAAGCTGGCGCAGGCGCTGGCGCACCTGCTGGAGGCCGAGAGACAGGAACGCGCTCGTGCCGAGGCACAGGAGGCGGAGGATCAGCAGGCGCGTGTCCTGGCGCAGCTGCTGCGTGTCTGGGGCTCCCCGCGTGCCTCGGACCCACCCTTAGCCCCGGACGACGACCCGGACGCTCCTGCTGCACAGCTGGCACGTGCTCTGCTCCGCGCTCGCCTAGACCCCGCCGCCCTCGCGGCCCAGCTTGTCCCTGCTCCCTCCGCTGCGCTGCGCCCCCGGCCTCCATTGTATGATGATGGCCCCACCGGCCTGGATGTCGAGGACACCGGAGATGATACTCCTGAGGTGGACCCGGAGCTGCTGAGGTGCCGGGGTCATGGGGAGGGAGGGCGAGATAACCAAAGCGCTGTCGTGCTGGAGCCTGAGGAAGTGAAGTCCTGGATCCCGGTACAAGGGACAGACGCCCCTCTATCGGACTGGGTGGGACTATGCAGGACTAGGGCTCCAGGGGTGGGTCGCTTTCTGCCTGGAGAGGCACTTTCTGGGATGGAAGGCAGGGACCTCTGACTTCCTCTGAAAGTAGTGAGTCCCTCGGCTTGAGTGGGGGGTGAGAACAACGTGGTGTTACAAAGTTGTGTTCAGGTTCGGGACTACTGGGGTAATAGTAGCCGCATCCTCACAGCATTCCACTCCACCTGCAGGTACTTGCTGGGGCGAATCCTCACCGGAAGTTCGGAACCAGAGGCTGCTGCTGCTCCGCGCCGCCTCCGCCGATCTGTGGACCAGGACCCGGGTCCTGAGGTGCCTCCCGAGAGTGTGCTGGGGGCGCTGCTACGCGTGAAACGCCTGGATAACTCCTCGCCCCAGGCGCCCGCACGCCGCCTCCTGCCTCCCTGAGCGCTGCAGCATCCTGCAAGCCCTGGAATCCAGGAGCGCCCCAGCAACCCTGTCTTCCTGCCAGCATGTCCACAGCCGCCTGCTAGGCAACCCTGAGATCCCCATCCCTTGAATCCTCAATAAATGCCATCTATAGCAGCTCTTTGTCTGAGTGGGGTGTTCTAGGGGCTGGTGGTCTGGGCGAGCGATAGTGGCTGTCTCTTCGGGTCCACTACTGACATGGACTATGTCCCTGCCTAGTCTTTGCTTTCCTCCCTGGCAAAAAAGAACCTACACAGAGAGCAGTAAAGGCGTGCAGTACTCACCAGGTGCCTGGGCTACCCTTCTAGGCTTCACTGAGATGGGGTTCCCTGAGAGGCTCTGAGGTCACTTTCAGCCTCTGCCACGGGTCCATGGCACTAAAGGTCAAGGGGCTACACTTGTTGCCCACCAGGACCAGGAGTTGCTTGTTGTGAGAGCCCCAGGTGGATTACATATGCTGCAGTTGGCCCAGACACCCAGCACACCAACTGCCAAGCCCTGACCACAAAGGACTCTGGATATTCAGGCCTTTATGGCCTTTACACTGGTTATTTATCTGCCCTCGATATATGCACATTTTCGAACAAATGTCACTTCATAAAGCTTTTTTTTAACCTTCCTACCATTGCCTCCTTTAATATATAGCTTCCATCGCTGTCTAATCTTCCGTTGTACAAGGATGGAGGTTTTTCTCTATATTCCTGGTATCCAAAACAAAATTGGGCAGTTTCTCAAGTTTTCCTAGAACTCACTCTGTAGACTAGGCTGGCCTCGAACTCACAGAGATCTACTTGTTGCTGCCTCAAAGTGCTGGGATTACAGGTATGTGTCACTACCATGCTCAGATCCCCAACATCTCCTTGAATGAAAGAATTCTCATAACTCAAGCAACATTCTCCCACCCACGTTAACACTTAGTACGAAAGCTGGCTGTAGACACCTGTAATACCACACTTGAGAGGTGGAAACAGGATGATCAACCAGGAATGAGTTCAGTATCAGCCTGGACTACATGAGACCCTGTCTCAGAACAAAACAATTTGGCATGGTGGCACATACCTTTTATCCCATTATCCCAGGACTCAGGAGGCAGAGGCAAGGAGCTCTCATTTCCAGCCAGGGCTACATAATACACAGTAAGACTGTCTCAAAAAAAGAAAAGACATTATGGAGGTAGCTTTGAATCCTGAGAACATTTATTTAATTTTGCATAAAGCTTCATAAAACACAGCCAATACTAAACAACCCATGTTACCACCAACTCCTCACCAAATGAAAAATAAAAAGGTGTCCATGGTAACTGTTATTTGGTGGGGAAGGGGACTCTTATGCCAAAGAGAATTGTCATCCTGATCTGCTGTGAGAGATCTTCAGGCAACAGAGCAGCCACAGCTACAGACGGCTTTGTGGTGTCGGGGCTTCTTCATGCTTGCCTCCACCACTGCCTCCTGGGCCCGCTGAATCTCATGGACAAGCAGAGAAAAGGCTTCCTCTACACCTTGCCGTGTCTTGGCTGAGGTCTTTACGAAGGGGGCTCCCCACTTGTGAGCAAGGACAGCTGCAGCAGCATGAGCATCTCCAGTAGAGGTCACTAGGTCACTCTTGTTGCCCACGAGTACTAGAGGCTGCTTTTGATGAGGGCTCCAGGACGACCAGATCTGCTGTAGCTGATCCAGAGATGAGGGGTCATCCAGAGCAAAGACCCCCAGCACGCCATCACCGGCTGCCAAGCACTGGTCACGAAAGGACCTGTGAATATCTTGCCCCGCTGTGTCCAGCACATTCAGAATGTAGCCCCCGTTGTCCAGGGCCACCTCCTTCCAGTAGGAATCCTGAATAGTGGGGTCGTGGTCTTTGACGAAGCAGTGGTGGGTCATCTGGATAGTGAGAGCACTTTTCCCAACACCACTTGCGCCCACCACCACTGCCTTGTACTCCGGAAGCTGCCTACCAGCATCTTTGCATTGGCTTTCCTCTGGTGATCTGGTGCACTGTGTGTTGGAGCTCAGGTCCAAGACACTAGACCTGGTCGGCAATGCCATTTCCCACCAGTCAGCTCAAGGAAGAGATATAAATAGCCGCTGCTGAGAGAAGACAATGACAGGTGAGACTGGTTGGAAGAAAGGAGACCCCCCAGGTGCCATTGAATCAACACAGTTAAGTATACACGGCCGTTTTCTCCTTATTTGGGGGTGGGGCAGAGTCTTAACCATAGCTCTAGCTAGCTTGGAACTTGTCCTACAAGTCAGGCTGACCTCAAAGTTTCAGCAAGCCTCCTGCCTCTGCTTTCCCAGTGTTAGTGTGCCCCACCATGTCCAGTTTCTTTCTTTTGGAGATAGAAGGCAGTTTTTCTTTTAGCAAGTCTGGGAATCAAACCCAGAGTCTCTATCATTCAGCTACTCCTTCAACACCGAGCAGGGATATTTGTTTTTCATATATATCTCATTTTTAAAATTGCAATTTTTTTGTGCATGGGAGGTATTGGATTGGGATAGATAGAGGGGGACTTAACCCTTGCTTGTGTACATAGCATTTGTGTGGCCGTCTAAGGACAATCTATGGAAACAGGTTTTTTTTCCTTCCCCTGTAGGAGTAAGGTAGTCAGGTTTGGGAGCAAATGCCTTTATCTCTGAGCCACCTGGCCTGCCCTGGGATTTTTCAAGTCTTGCTTCTACTGATATCAGCATGCACTCCATAAAGCCCACCCAGTTAAAATGTGCGGCTCCTGTGGAGCCATCACTATAGCTGAATTTGAGAATGTTGAAAGTTTTGACCATCTTTATCTTGCGGAAAAGAATCTCTGTCCCATAGCAGTCTCTCTCCATTGCACAAGTAGAGTGGGATTTGGTGTGGTTTGGTTGTCTTTGAACCCCAGCTTAGCCACAGTAGTGACTGTCTGGTGATTGAATGGCTGCTTGGAACTTTCCCACCCAAAGAACATCTTACTGCCGAAGTTCAAGATCAGCCTCGGTTACAAAACACATTGGGAGCGGACCCTATCTCAACAACAAAAAAAAAAAAGAAAGAAAAGAAAGAAAGAAAAGAAAAGAAAAAGGCAAACCAAATCATGTAGCCTAGTAACCACTTGTGTGAGGCAGGGGCATAGATAGGCACAGAAAGTAAAAAAAAAAAAAACTGGGGATGTGGTTCAGTTGGTAGAAAGCTTGCCTAGCATGCACAAATTTCTGGATTTGATCCTGAGTATAATACAAAATCAGGCAGAGGACCAGCAAGACAGCTCAGGAGGTACTATTAATGCTTGCTGGAAAAGCCCAGCAAGCTGAGTTTTCACTGGAGCCCATGTTAATTGGCGCACAGGTTTATCCCAGCACTTAGAAAGCACAGGCAGGTGAATCTCTGGGAGTTCCAGATGAGCCAGGGTTATAAAGGGAGGCCTTAACTCCAAAAACCAAAGCCACGGCCACCAGCAACAAAAATCTCAAAACAGCAGCACTCCCAACCAAAGCAACCTTAACTGCTGTGAACTAACATTACTTTCTACATTTTATTTTATAATCTACACCGTTGCCTATAATCTCACGTTGTTTGGCACCAGATAAGTTAATTTTAGGTATTTTATTATTTAATATCAATTAAAAAAATCTTCCTGTACGCCAAGCATTGATATGGCACGGAAAACAAAAACAAAGACAAAAAACAGACTCAACTCCTGGGGCCTTGGAACAATGCTACTGAAAAGAGGGACAATAAATATGATAAGTATCTTCCTATGTAAGATAAGGAAATTATCTTACATAGTAGAAGAGGTTAGGCACACAGCAGGTGCTCAATTTGTGTTAGCTACTAATAGCAAGTCATTAGCTCACTGAATGCACCTCCACATCCGGTTGGGGAAGGGCCTTCCGAGAGAGCCCCGGAATGGTGGTTGCCATACAGTTCACTAGAAACTGGGAGGGGTGGCAGTTGGGGGCAGGTGGTGGGTTCCAGGGGTCCCCAGCAGATTCGGCAGCGGTCAGCGGTAGCGTTTGGGGAAGTGAACAGAGATGGGGGTGACAGGGGAAGGTCTTAGGTGGAGGGATCCTTGAAAGGGGCCACTGGAAGTGCTAACCCACAAAGAGATGTAGGGTAAGAAGAAAGGTGGGCAGAGAACGGAGCTTTGGAGTAGGGCAATGTTTAGGGATGCAGAGAGGGAAAAGTCCTTAGAAAGAATCAGGATGGCCTCCGTCACGAGGCCCAAATCGTAGAACCCAGGGCTGGGGTGGTGGGGCTGGGGTGGTGGGGTGGTGGGTGCTGGGGTGGTGGGGTGGTGGGGCTGGGGTGGTGGGGTGGTGGGGCTGGGGTGGTGGGGTAGTGGTGCTGGGGTAGTGGTACTGGGGTGGTGGGGCTGGGGTGGTGGGGCTGGGGTGGTGGGGCTGGGGTGGTGGGGTAGTGGTACTGGGGTGGTGGGGCTGGGGTGGTGGGGTAGTGGTACTGGGGTGGTGGGGCTGGGGTGGTGGTGGGGCTGGGGTGGTGGGGTGGTGGGGCTGGGGTGGTGGGGCTAGTGGGGCTGGGGTGGTGGGGCTGGGGTGGTGGGGTGGTGGGGCTGGGGTGGCAGTCGAACAAGTGGAAAAGAGAGGTTAGGTTCTGGTGGAAACGAACAGCTTCCTTTCCAGATTAAAAAACGAGGGTCAGGAAAGAATCACTATTAAACTTGGGGCTAGAGCAACTACCAATCTAGGGGTGCTGTGACCAGAGGTGGGGATAAATATGAGACGGGCGCCTCCCCAAGGTGCTAGCGATTAGCACAGTGATGGTAGGAGCTTGGGGGAGGCCGAGTGAGCCCCCAATATGGCCACTCAACCTCATCTTTGTGATACCTCAGGAAGGCTAGGGCTATATAGTCTCCAGGTCTTTTATTCCCAAGAAACAGGGGAAAGAGTGAGGGGACTGGCCCCAGGCTCCTCGGCAGGAACGGTAGATACATCACAGACCGGCGCTTCGGCTCTCCGCTTAACTTACACAGAGCCTCTAAAATGTGGAGTGTTGCTGAAGCATTCCCAGAGAACTCTGTGATCCCTGTGGACACCGGCTTTGAGCCACTTGCACCAGTCTTCTGAACTCGCATCTCCGACCCAGGAAGGCAGGAGCCCCAGGAAGGCGAGCAGAAGCAGGCTGGG